ATATTAACCAAATAATCTTGAATACCTATGAAGAAATTCATATTTACTACATTTCTACTAATATAACTGGTCTATGATGATTAAATGCAACTCTTGATTGATTAAGCTAGCTAGCTAGCACAGTTTCATTACACTTTATCTTTCTTGAAATGTGTCTATTTGTGGCTATTGTTGTAACAAATGTCTGACTATTATGTAAAATCTGAATAAGGCTAAGACTGCCTAACGTCGTCAGTCCAACTTCCCTGGCTGGTGTCACAGAGTCACTACGACTTGCAGTAATGGTGGCACCGCTAGATGGCAGAGCACACAAACCAGGTCGCCAGATTTGTTAATAAAGACATAGTACTTAATGGGTATAAGATGTATTGTGCTTTTTATTCAGTCTAATTGTTTTGAAAACACACTTAACAACACAGCCCAGAGGAAAATATTTCTTATTTTTTATTAAAATGACAATAGTATTATGAGTAATACCGTTTAATACTGTAAAAGAGTATTTTGGTGTGACAATTCTAATCAGATTAGTTTTTTAGTCCATGGTGTTGTTATAAACACTATATATCCAGTAATGGAAAACAACCTTTTTGCTGCAACGGTAGTACTGGGGAAGGCCATTGTTATCCAAAACGCTATATAGGAATAGGCCTTTTGAGATGAAACAGACTGTTGACTGTAGTAGGTAGTTTCTGCATGATGGGTTACAACATATCCACAAAATACTTTTATTAAGTGAAGTATATACAAAGCTAATTATTAGTTAGTTATTAGTAAGTTATTAAATACAAAATATGAACTATAAGATCCCTTTAGTGTGTGCACTATACATAATATGGTTGCTGCACTGTGCTCTTGCCTTTTAGTTACGCTTTTTTTGTTCTGTCAACTTTCGTTCTGAAGAATAATAGAGAGTAAGAATTGCGATTCTTATGTGAATCACTTTTCCCCCTACCCCTAGTTCTTCTAACCTGTAAACAAATTTGTCTGTCAAAAACAATCAAAGCCTCAGGTTGTGAGCCCAGCAAGACTATACAGCTAAACTGAAATGGTCCCCTTTGTAAAACCTTGAACAAGGTGGTACAAATCACAGATGACATCTTCTCACAGAGGAATTGTCCAAAGGAATAAGGTGAAGCAGGGTGCAGAGGACTTATCCTCCCCGCAGTATTTTTTATGAAGAGGAGATATAAGTCTTGACATGGAAAGAGGAGATACCTAAGTAATCCCGTGGTAAAGCTGAAAAAATCCTGCTGAAAAATGTGTGCACCCCTGAGAGACAGTGAAAAATTAAAAAAGGGGTTTTAAAAAGGTAAAGGGGGAACAGAAAGTAAAAAAATAAAAAATAAAAAAATAAAAAGAAGCCTCCTGTTGGGCCCTTTAAACTCACCTTTGCCATTCTAAGTTTGTTTACCTCAGTGTCTGTGCATGTCAAACTATTCTGGAGCTGCAGGACTAGACAGTTGTGAAGTGAAGCAGTAAAAGAGGGCCTTATTGATCATTCCTGTCTATGCTAGGGGACTACTGAGCTGAAAACATCCAATGTGTAGTGGATGAGTGCATCTTGACTTAGCTGCATAGGTCACATAGCAATAACAGTCCAATTTCTTGTGTTAGAAGCCTGGAAGCTTCCTTGTGCCATTGTTTTCATAAGTTTACAATTCCATATTGTGTTTGGATGAAGTGTATATAACACAGGCTCATAAACACCCACATCCCTATACTTGCTGAATTAGTGCTTACCACCATTATTGTTTGTGATTCCTAGCTTAGTTAAATGCTTTAGAGTCACTGTAATCACAAAGCTCACAAACTTAATCAGACCATTTTAGTCACTGCATGTTGCTGTTTGCAATTATATTTATTGATCAAGTCAGATGAAACCAATGATTAAACTAATTAATTGAAGCTAAATTACAAGCATACCTTAAGGACATAAAAAAAACCTGGACAACCTGCAATTTTTTTATGTTAAACAAGACAAAACTAAGTCATTATATGTGGACGAACCATAAAGCATCCACATTTTAAGAAAACATCATACCAGTCAAAATGCACAGATATCTTGGAAGCATGGCTATTTGGCTGAAAAAAAAAATGTCATGCGTACTGCCAGTTTACACGGTAACAGTAGCATTTCCAAAAGATTTCACTCTGGAACCTAGTTTCAAAAGTTTGCTTTCTGGCCCCTGTTATCTTGTAAACAGAGCCTTAGTAACACACATTAATGGAAAATAATGTGACCAGATAGACAGGGAGGGTGGAGAGAGGAACTCAGTGGGACGTAATGGGTAATCTAGGCATAGCAGTGTAACTAAGGGATGTTTCTGCCTCTTAAAAGCAAGGTTTCCTTACCACTGTCACCTGTCAAGTGCTTGCTCATGGTGAGAATTGTTGGGTCTCTGTAAATAATTGTATATGGAGGTCTAGAGGGGCTCTATATGAAACATTTCCTGAGATCATTTCTGTTATGATTTCGTGCTATACAAATAATACTGAATTGAATTATAGTACAGATGCAACGAGACAGCAGCTTGTTTAAGTGTGTTTTGTTATTGTTTTCTGCAGTTATTGTTGAGACATCAATCAACTGGAATATGTGTTTATTATTATGATATATTTCAGTATTTTCCTTCACTAAGAAACACTCATGAAAACACCATTATTACACAACAACAACAAAAAACAATTTATTGGTTTTAAAAAATATATTGAGATGTGAAGAAGTGAAGCTTCTGTGTCTTTCTTTATAAAAACACAATACTTCAAAAGATACATCTTTGTCCAACAGTCACCCACACAAAAACTGAATGTTCTAAGTCCTTCACCTGGCAGACATGACAACATTGGATACAATGTCTCCTGCCTCAGACCTTGGATCAATAACACTAGATCAATAATGGCTCTAGTTTACACTGACTTTAAGAAACTGACAAAAATTTCTTGTGGATTTAAGGTGTGACAAAGGAGAAATCTTAAAACATTCTCTGGACCTTTTATTGTTCCTGGTAAGATTATCGTCACATTACAAAACCTATTATAATACACTGAAAGTGACAATATGTACATTATACATTACATTACACACATTGAATAATGTTGGTAAAGTTGGCATCATTCTGTCAATGAACAGCAGCTTAGGGTTAGGTTAAAACAGCTGTGGGATACACTCCGAGGGTATAGCTTGTGGTGGGTTAATCCTCTTCACTCTGAGATACGCAGAAAGCTGAGCTCATTTGGTTGCACAAAGAGGAAGCTCTGCTGACTGTCTTCGATAGAAGGGACCAAAACAGGACATGACAAGTTATAGAAAACCCTATTTCACAGCATAATACATCACATTAAGAACTGAATATAAAATCAATTCTTGCTTTTTTGGCTGTAGACTGTAAAAACGCATAGCATATGTGATGTAATTTCTATTTTTGTTACAGAACATTTTGAACCTCCGTTTTTACTTGCAGCCATCGTTTTTCAATTATTGAAGCCAGAGTATCCAAATTTAAGCATGGGGTGGGCTTGGAAGGTGCCAGCTTTCTCAGGAGGTGGCACCAACAATGAATGTGTGAAAAGCCTGATATCCCTCATTTAGTGTTCCATGTTCCAAAACATAAAGTATGCTGCATTAAATTATTTTTGACCAGATAGTGACAGAATTTCAAAACAACTTATGAATGTCTTATAGTGTGTCATATGATCAATCAAAACCAGACTGGGATTGATTGGGTGACTGGGTGCTGATTTGAAACATAAAACATTTAAGTATTTGAAACACATTAGGAATATGGATGGGGAGTAAAAAAGGGCCTTGGTAGTGGCTATGATTCATTACAGCTATTGTATAATCTACATGTTGATGCAAGTTTATTGCTAACCAAGCTGGTCCAGGCTGTCTCAGGCAATGTTGCTAATGAATTTCATGTTAATAATAATTTACTGTTGGGCAAATATGATATGTAGTCTTTTCTCTTGTGTACTGCTTTCTAGCACTTAGTTTCAGTTGAACTTTCTGTTACCAGTAACAATAGTAGCACACTTCCATAACAGTTTCATAGACATTGCTATATCCAACGTTTTGTTTTGTTTGCTTTTTATCAAAACAATATATTCCAAACCATGTCATGTTTTCACAGTTAAATGTTTACACTAGGGTCCTTGATTAAGTTGGCAGATATTGAGCACAGGTGGCACAGCTAGCTGTGGTTGGGCTGTTGACTAGAGTCCACTTGAGACTTAGAGAGTTGACCTCAACTCTCACAAAGAGTCAGTTTGAAGCTATTTTGTAGTGAGACAGAATACCAAGACCCCATCATATAGCCTATACATTTGCCTTGCTGCTTGTGAGATCCAGATTTCAGAAAGAAAATTTAGAAGCGTATCGACAATTTACTCAATTTTTAAATTATTCAGACTTCTCTGTACCTGTATTGTAATAGTTTTAGTCTCATTGTGAAGCTACTGACTCATAGACCGTAATAAATGATGCAGTAATTGCATTTTGCATGAGTCAACTTTGCCAATATCTGAAACCAGTAGTCTTTTTCAACAGATTGGCTGAACAGGCTGATTCACACATAAAAAATGTCACAGCTACAATGGGTGTTGTCTGGCATTTCAAAGTATTTATATATCTCATTAAAGGTTCTAAACAACCTAGAAGTCAAGTAGACCCTTTTCTCTCACAATAGTCCTCAAATTATAAATACTGTGAATATGTTTTTTCTTCCAAAATAATATAATTAATTATCTTCTTGTTCTTGTTTATCTTCTTAGTATTTAGCAAAGCCAAAAGTGGATACCTGTAGCCAAGTGCCCTTTTGGCCTCTGACTAGAAAAGTTCTCTTTTGCAAGACATCATTTATTTTTTTAATTTAACTAGTGCAGTGCCCGTAG